CAGAGCCCACTGGGAACGCACAAACTGTCTCTGTGCAGACCCTTCCCGTGGCCAGCTGTGTCCCCAGTCCCCCTGGGGAGGCAGCACAGCCTGAGCCCTCTGTCCCCGTGGGCTCAGTGTCCTCCCTCCTGGCACAGCACAGGGTTCCCCCTCCCTTCCCCTTCCCTGGCTCGTGGTGTCACAGTCGGTGTGAGGGTTGTGCATCCCCTGCTGTGGTTAGAGGAGCACACCCAGGGTGCTGGTTTGGCCTGTCCTTAAAACAACCCCCCAGGTGCCCTCAGGGCAGCATCACACAGCTGGGAGCTGCTGCCTGGCCGAGGCTGCAGGGGCCTGAGCTCGGGTTTTAGGAGGAGCAAGAGCAAAACCAGCTCTGTGGGACGGTGAGAGCAGGGAGGTTTGAGGGCAGGAGTCCCTGACTCCGACCTGTGCTGAGCTCAGGGCATCACCCCCCTCCTGCAGGCTCCACAGACACCCCAGGCCTGCCCCTTGCAGGTCCGAAATCCCGGGATCACTGGGGTTGGAAAAGCCCTCTGAGGTCATGGAGCCCACCCTTGTGCCCAGCCCGGAGCACTGAGTGCCACATCCAGGCATCCCAGGGATGGGGCTTCTCCTCCTCCTCCTCCCTGGGCAGCCCCTTCAGTGCCCCACAGCCCTTTCTGGGAAGGAATTCCTCCCCATGTCTGAAAATCCCAGTCCTCTTCACTTCCCCACCTGGTCTTTAGGGTCCCTTTGGGGTAAGGGGGGGTTTCCTCCTGCAGAGTGTGGGGTTACTGTCACCTCAGGAGCAGAGTGTGGGGTTACTGTCACCCCTGGAGCAGAGTATGGGGTTACTGTCACCCCTAGAGCAGAGTATGGGGTTACTGTCACCTCAGGAGCAGAGTGTGGGGTTAATGTCACCTCAGGAGCAGAGTGTGGGGTTTTAATGTCACCCCAGGAGCAGAGTATGGGGTTAATGTCACCTCAGGAGCAGAGTATGGGGTTTTAATGTCACCCCAGGAGCAGCAGCTGGGGCTTTAGTGTCACCTCAGGAGCAGAGTGTGGGGTTAATGTCACCTCAGGAGCAGAGTGTGGGGTTAATGTCACCTCAGGAGCAGAGTATGGGGTTACTGTCACCTCAGGAGCAGAGTATGGGGTTAATGTCACCTCAGGAGCAGAGTGTGGGGTTATAATGTCACCCCTGGAGCAGCAGTTGGGGTTTTAATGTCACCTCAGGAGCAGAGTGTGGGGTTAATGCCACCTCAGGAGCAGAGTATGGGGTTAATGTCACCTCAGGAGCAGAGTGTAGGGTTAATGTCACCTCAGGAGCAGAGTATGGGGTTAATGTCACCTCAGGAGCAGAGTATGGGGTTAATGTCACCTCAGGAGCAGAGT